TCAAATCGGCAGAACGCTCGTGTGATCGCGCGGGCGTGTGTCAATTCTATAATAGGGAGTGAAAAACTTATGTTTCACCGTTTGTTTGCATGGTTCTGTATTTTGAACCTCGTTTTGAGCGTAATGGCTGTAGAAGCTGCTAAAATTGCTGTTGTTGATTTTGCTGATGAGTGGACAAAGGTTGACGCGTTGCGTCAGACACTGGATGAATTCAAAGTTGAGTACGATGATCTGACAAAGGCGCTTGAAGGTGGGGAGCTACCTCTCAAAGCGGAAAATAGAATTTTCTTAATCGGTAGCATGACGACCAACAATGCTGGATTGCACCAAAACCTTGACAAGAATGCAAAAGCGATTCAGGATTTCGTCGAAAATGGTGGTGTCGTCTGGGAACCGACCCAAGCTGATCAGAACGAAGCGAATGTGGATTGGTTGCCGTCTGGGTTGAGTTGTGTTCGGAGTGACCGTGATAGTGCAGATTTTAAAATACTAAACGCGGACCATCCGCTCTTTAACGAACCAAACCGTATGAGTGAGAAAACGTTTGAAGACTGGGGACATCAAGGCTGGCCTACTGTGTGGGAAGTCATCGCTTCTCAAACAGGATTTAACGTGCTGATGGAAAGTTTGGGACAACCTGTCATTATGGAAGCGGAATTCGGGAAAGGTAAGTTCCTGATGATGGCAATTGCACCTGATAAATACTATATCGCAGGTAACGATGACCATACGAAAGACATGGCAAAGCTTTTTATGGAGAATTTGCTGAACTATGTTGAAGAATTTGCTGCTGTCGAAGCAGATGGGAAGCTCACAACGAGGTGGGCGAATCTGAAAATGTGATAACAATAATCTGTTTTGCTCAGTCTTCGTCAATAGACCAGGTCCAGTTGATATTATTGTCCTTGTAAAATTGCTTGAGTGCTGGTTTATCAAACCATAGTTGAATTTCCTTGCCTACAATATGACCAACGCTACTCACCTTGAGGTAAAGACCACCGGCTGTCCAACCGGGTATGATGTTGTACTGTCCGGTTTGTGCAGCATAGATGCTGAGCAGTGCCAGCGGCTCCATCGCATCAAGGTTAGCGGTTTTATGAGTGTCCTGCAAAAGCTCTATTACGCTTTTCCCTTCATGCGATTCCTGTAACTCGGGTTTATCCATGACCCGGTTTTGGAGGATAAAACCGTCTTCGAGCGTAAAAAGACCGCTATCGGCATGTTGTCTCACTTGAAGAGATTGTCGCCTATTCGCTCCGCCATCGCCAGAAATTCTGCCCTCGGTTCTACTCGGTATAGATCCACCAGCGCAAAGATATAAGCAGGTTCCAAGGCGGTTGTGTCAAAATTCAACAGCGGTTGGCAGTTTTTGTCAGCACCGATATCTCCGATCCCGAAGGCTTTGAGCATAGTTCGTAGGTAGTCTCTGAACGCTCTTTTGCCCTCGGAGATCCGATATCCACGGGCACAAACGGAGGTAAAGAGCGGCGTAATGTTTTGAGGCAGAAACGCGCCGCCTTCTTTCGCACCAAAGTAGAGTTTTTCTGTCTTGAAAGGACCCTTTATCCGAAAATCCGTTAGATCCGTCCCATCAATAATGATGCTTTTCAGTGTATTGTTTTTTGGATCGTAGGAGGCGTTTAGGAAACCGATGATGTGTTGCTCAACTGCCTCTTTGATGTGCGCCATTTCGCCGATACGCCCGTACTTTTCGGCATTTTCTACGATTGTAAGCATACCCATCATCTGGGTAACGGTGTGGTTCAGCTGATTGCCTACATAGACTCTCGGTTCGGTCGCCTGCGGATATTGTCTACCGAATACGTTAAGCCCGCGTTTGGAAATTTGCGGATGAACCAGATTGGGCCAGATACCAGTCTCTGGATCCCGCTGCTTTATAATCAGATTTAATAGACGTTCCGCCCAAATCCGTGGTGCCTCCTCCTGCTTTTGGTAGCCCAAGCTGTAAGCGGCGTAAGCCAGATCGAGTGCCACACTATAAACGAGAGATCTGCACTGATTTCGGGATCTTTGTATCCATCCCAAGGTCTGTTCCAAGTATTGGTATGGTCAACCTGCTTTTTGAAATCACCGTGTCGGTTGTAGTGTAAGGCATCCCAGTCCTTGATATTTGCTTCCCAAATACCCTTTCATCAACATCTCGCCCCGGTCAGCATCTACGGCTCTCAGCAATTCCCAGTAGGGGTATACGTCCTCTATTTCGTGGACAACGCCCTTCATGCCATATCTATTGCCGGTTACTAAGTCAACATAGCCGTGCCCGCCCCAATGCAGAACGCCACTTTCTGGATACCAGTAGTTGCTGAACATGTATTCGGTGGCTTCTCCGGCGGCATGGATGTATGTGCCATTCCCCGTGAACTGGCTTAAAGAAGCCAGCAACCGCATCAGGTTCTGCTGATTTTGAAAGAAACTCCAGACCGCTGGTTTTGGCTCGGTGCCTGTTCGGTGAGAGGTCATGGATCTGGGTGCCTCCAAATGGTCGATATGGAGGCAGTCGGCGAAGAGTGGCATATCTTTGCCACTGTATCTATCTCTCCCGTATTGTATCGCTGTATCTGCGAAGAGACTCGCCGCTTTTAAGAAGCGGTTACCATCTATTTCGTCGGGACGCAACCGGTCTCTGCCAATCCATCGATCCAATTGTTTAACGCTCATACTCCCTCCGTGCTACTTTTTTTCCATGCGATAACGGTGGCTCCGAACACGGCAAAACCGAAGAAAGTAAACGGCATCTGCCACAGAAGAAAACTCATGTGCGTATGGATGAATGAGTGTGCCTTGAAGATTACAAACCACGATAAAGGTGCTAAAATTGAAAACCACGTCGTCCAGATTAATGCAATGTAGTGCTGCCGTCGCTCTGCCATCATTTTTTTGCTACGCAAAAACAGTAGAACAGACATCACTATAAAAAGAACTATCAGGTAAACATAGCGGACTTTCAATAGGAAATTAGAGACGAAGGAATTAGAGATAGATAGATAGTTGTTCAAATCAAAGAAAATACCGTTCACGTAAGTAATGACCACTCCTATCGTACCGGCTTCCAGACTGGCAGCATATACCTCAGGAAAACCTTGTGCCTCTCCGTGCGTTCGCTTTCCGAAGGAATAGACCACATGCCCAACGCCGTCCATGAATCCGTCCTTCGCCGCACCGATCTGGAAACATAAAAGTAGGAGACTTAAAAAAATTGCTACGCCCGATCCGAGTCCGGCTGCAAGCGTCCACTTCAGACATTGGTGCCTACGCCACTTGTCGAGGATGGCATAATAGATACACGGTGTCACCATCATTACCAGTGTGGTTGTAATATACTCGAAGCCGTTGATGAAACACTTAATGAGAACCGAGATGAAGATCAGGATTCCAAACTTGATGAACTGACGGTTCGACGGGACTCTGTGGCGTTTAAGGAGGTAGAAGACGACAATCATCGGTAGGTAGAACGCCCATAGACTCCACCAAAGATTTTTACCAAAAACTGTCAACCATTGGGAGAGCACAGCCGAACCTATGGCGAATATCGCGACCCACCCGCCAAACTCCTCATAGAACCAGCCTATAATCGCGGTCAATGCGATTGCCGAGAGTAAAGCCGTCAATACATAGAATGACCATAACTTGATTTGAGGCGATAGCGGAATGAGTCTATCAAATAGACTGAAAAGTATTCCTTGGCCCCCAGATTGTGACATGTACGGCGAGTATTCATCAAAGGAGAGCCTGTTAAGATAGGCTAAATATTGACGGTCAATCTGTGACGAAGATATCCATTCCTGCTGAATATTAGTCGTGATTCCCGCCCCCGTCAGTCCCCCTGCCGAGAAGATGCCATCTTGGCGAGATTTGACCATTCTTCCCACAATAAGACTCTCGGTGTCTCGTTGATGCGTGTCAAACCATTGCTGTTCGGCGACATGCCATAAGTTAGAGAAAAACCCGAAAAATAGGAGTCCGATTGATACTCCCCAAATGGACACCTTCCTTACGAGTTCTGATTGACTGAGATGTTTAAGTCGCATATTGACAGACTCCCACTGCTGCAGCGGGCGAAATATGTTAAAGTATCCGCCCTTTGGGCACCTGCGAGTTGGGATACCATCGAGAATCGGAGGGTGGTCCTGGCTCGGGGGGCTGCAGAGAAGCAAACTCAGTCAACTTAGGTCGGATCTCGTTTTCCCAAATGCCCTCCACATCATCAAATGTCAGTGGCGTGTGATTCGACACCTCCGCTTTATATGCCGTTAGCAACTCCGTCGTCTTTTCGCCAAAAAGCGTAACAATATCTGCCACCATCTGTTCCCCGACGCGGCGACTGGAGGATTCGTTGAAATCGCCCATTGCAAAATGAGGTGCGCGTGCGTCATCCGTCGGCATCCGCGACATATCCACACAGTCTGGTGCCACCGCCCAAAGCACCGACGTTTCACCGCGTCCAGCGTGTCCACCCAATCCTTTACCATCCTCAAAACGCTCAACATCCGCGCCGATGCTCATCGACGAATACATCCGAACCCCGACGTGCGCCTGCATAATTTCAATCACCACCGGCACGTCTAACCGATGCGGACCCGAATGCCCCGAAAACAGAATTGCACCGTGAAAACCCAACGCGTCCACTGCTCGAATGTGATAGCACATATTCTTCAAAAACATCCAAGGCGGTATGGCTGTCAGCCACGGTCGCTCTTGATTAACTTGATTGTGTCCCCATGCGCCGTAGCCGCCAATCTCATGGCAGTGCCAGTAAAACGGCGGTGCTACAATCCCACCGTGTGCTTGCGCCGCCTGACACGAGCATTCGTATGCCCGAATCGCGTCCATTCCCAACCGCATTGTGCCAACCGTGCGGTTCGCACAAGCCATAAGGTAGATACACCATTGGACGCGCCTCAAGTGCCGCTTCTAACTCATCTGGGAACATCCGTTCCCACCGCACCTCATGTCTCATATAATACCCCTTCCGATCATTTGTGGAACTTTCTAAAATCCCATTTCAATCTAACCTAAAACGCGTTTGCATAAATCTATTGAATGTGCGATAATGTCAAGAGTCTAACAGATTTTTAAACTTGATGTCCACTCATTTTTATTACGGTCAGTCAACTTTCTGAACCCGTAGATTATGGAGGGAAATCCAATGATACGTCTAATATTAATTGCCTTCAGTATCCTGTGCCTTGCTATGCTTGTGAAACACAGCGATGCTGAAATCGATCCAACAACCGCCGTTGGCGTGTGGCTCTTTAATGAGACCGACGGTGACACGGCATCCGACTCCTCTGAAAACGGCAATGATGGCACACTGGAGGGTGACCCGAAATGGGTCCCCGCTGGCAAATTTGGCAACGCACTGGAATTAGATGGTGCAGGTGATTATGTGAGCGTCCCTGACCATGAAACTTGGATACTAAAATCAGTGAGACATTCTCAATCGTCATCTGGGTTAAAGGCACTTACAGACCCAACGATTGGCACGGGTTAGTGACAAAGGCACAGGGATGGCGAGTCGATATGTGTTACCTGTTGCAACGGGCTGCTAATGGCAAATTCGAGTTTGCCCCTTTTGGAGAAGGAGGCAACGACAGCTGGACAGCATCCAACATCCTCCCAGAAGATGGCACATGGTATCATGTGGCTGCTGTCTATACCGGTGAAGAGAGCACAGGTTTACGTTGATGGCGTGCTTTCTGCCACGCGTGTCTTTTCTGCGGAGATTGCCGACACGATGCGCCTGTGGTTATTGGAACCAATTATCCAAGGCGGCATTCAGCCAGTGGATGGTCTTATCGACGAGGCCTGCGATTTTTAGTGTTGCTCTGGAAGAAGAGGATATCAACGCCATAATGAACGAAGGCTTGGAAGAGACACTTGGTATACTGGCTGTCGAACCTTCAGACAAATTGGCTTTGACTTGGGGCGACTTAAAAGTCGGTAATGATAAATAATGCCTCCGCTGCGTTGATGAAGGATTTGCTGGCACAATCCCGTGCGACACAAAATTCGTTTATCTACCTGCGCGATCACTTACCGTTCGCGAATTTGGTCCTGGAACGGTAAGTGATAAGACCTGTTCGTTACCCGCGTTTTTCGCCGGGTTTTCGATATTTTGACGAATAACCATCCCCTTCGGGATCGTACGAAACGGATACCTGTCCATCTTCCACAACGAGTCGCGGCACCGTCCGGTGACGACCATCCCTTTCGGGCCCCCGCATTACAGCGAATTGTGCCTCGGTCATATCTTCAACCATATCGCCCCACCGCTCTTGCGGATCGATCACACCACCGCCCCAATTGACATTTTTCGACTGATACTTAACCAATACCCCGCGTCTGGGGACTGGGTTCTTCCACGCTAAGGCACCGTGTGTACAACCACCGTCCATAAAAAAGAGGACATCGCCAGCCTTCATAGTGGGTTGTACCACCAAACCCATTGTTTCATCACACGTCCGAACCCCGCGTGGCATGGAGTACTGCGTCTTGTGGGACCCGGGCACACACGCAAAACCGCCCAACCCTGGTTCGACATCGCGCAATTGCCATGTAATGGTGACAGTCTCAGCATAACTGCGTCCGTTCTTAAAATAATAACCGCGTGATGGGGTCATCGGTTCATTTCCATCGTGCAGTGAGTGCCCCGATGTTCCTTGAACGGCGCAGAATACGGTCGCCCCACCCGTGCGATAACCGCTACCGCCCATCCAATTCAGTCGCTGCACCAGAGTAGGATGCGCAATCATGCGTCGAAATGGTTCGCTATAGGTGCTGGCAGGTCTAACAAACCCGACAGGAGCGGACGCCCTGTACCAGCTTGGCTTACTGACCCGCCCGCCAGTTCATCGCCTACGGCGATACGATCTTGGAATTTATCCACCGCCTCATTGGCTTCTGCCAGCCACTGCTCATCCATCACGCCGCGCACCACCAGATACCCATTCAAATCCCAAAAGTAAAACTCTTTCTCATCAATTCCAGAATCTGGGTCGCGGGTATAAATTGATGGATGAATGACGGACGTGTCTTCCTCCACCCATGTTTTTTCGCCATCTGTATTTACCACCGGTGGTGGGTTTGAACCCTTAAACCCAGGGGTATACAAGACCGCCTTTTGTTCAGGCGTTGCCTCATCCGCCCATCCCGGCAAAGATTCGGTTTCTGAATGAGGTCCAACAGGATTAGACTGAACTGCCGCACGTGCTGCATACCAGTAAGTCAACAATCTTTTTGGATCGCCTTTCCACGGTCGAACGCCTTGGAGCGTAGGTGCCGCGACTAAAAATAGATCCCCTGCCTTGAGTTCCGGCTGCACCACCAACCCCATATCATCAATTCCGGTCGCCAAGTCGTGGGGGTGTTTCGACATTGCTCTTGTGGCTTGCCTGAACAACAACTAATCCCCCATCCCCTTCTGCGACATCTTCCAATACCCAGATCGCTCTCACGCCCTGACAACGCCTCCGGCCGTTTTGTTGGCGATATGCTGAGGACGGATTCCTCGGTTCATCGCCACCGACGAGTGTTGTACCTATTTCACCTTCTCGATTCCCCAACAATCGAGGGGCTTGATCGAGTCGGAAGCCGTGTCCTACGATCTGGTTCAAATACCACACCAATTTAGGGTGTACCAGTAGATCGCGGAACAATTCGCGGTGGAGATCGCCTAACAGCGCCTCATTTTCACCAGCTGCATCTAATGCCTCGTTCAGTGCCGCCACCTCTTCCTGATTTAGGACACCCGGAATGTGTAGATAGCCTGCCACATCAAAAGCATAATTCTCTTCGTTGCTCATTACTTCGTTGTCCATTTTTCCCTCCTGTTCAGGTGGACGGTCAATAGGATGTCGCCGATTCGCAATATTAACACGCTATTCGCGGTGACGGCGGGAGCGTTATGGGTCCCATTGCTGCCAATGCATAGCATTTTTCAGTAGTCGTATTATTATCGCACAGTTCTGCCGCTTGATCAACAACCAATTTCCAAGGCTATTCAGTTTTCGGTTTTCTACCCGTTTTAGGTGGGAAGTGTTTTTGCTTGGGTGTTTCCCCCAGGAATCGGAGTTCCCTCCTACAGCAAAACTGAATGCCTCTGTAGCGAAGATATTTCGCTATTGCACTTTTCTGTGCCTTACCGTATAATGCAACTCGGTATAACAACGTAACCACATGAGATTTCTACAACTCAAGAGAGGACAACCCAAATGAACATAAAGGTTACTTTGATATTGGCTCTGGCGATCTTGGTTTTACAGACGAATCCCTGCTGAGAGTCAGGTCGTTAGAGACGGACTGGTTAGCTACTGGACTTTTGATACTGCAGATGTTGAAGGCAACACCGTTAAAGACGCTATGGGAGGTAATGATGGAACGATTGTAGGCGCGCCTAAACAGGTCGCAGGCAAATTCGGTCAAGCGTTTAAATTCAGTGGGAAGCCGGACGCGATTGATATTGGTGCCCCCGCCAATGGTAGTCTCGATTTTGGCGATGACAAAGATTTCTCGATGGTGGCATGGATCAAAGTTGACAAACCCCCAGAATTGGATGGAGAGCAGTCTACAATCGTTAGTAAGGGAGATGGGGGTGGCAACGCCAGAATTCTCTGGAAAATCAACACAACGAAAGTAAGTGTAACGATTTCACACATAGACGGGGGTCCGACCTCCCACTTTCTCGGAGTCAAGGATGTGACCGACGGAAAGTGGCATCACGTTCTCTTTGTTGCGGATAGATCGGAGCCGACTCGTCTCTATATCGACGGTAAATTCGACGCTGAGGGAGAAAAGTCTGACGAGGTAGATATTACCACAGAATCTGTCATGTATATCGGTGCCTCAGTCCGAATCGGCGAAACCACTCGAAGATACTTTGAAGGTCTGATTGACGAGTTGGGTATCTATGATCGGGCACTGACAGATGATGAAATCGAACGGAACTTCAATGCGAAGGGACTTGCTGTCAGCCCTCAAAAGAAACTCGCTATTGCCTGGGGAGAGATAAAGGTTTCAAGGTAAGGCTCAAAAATCCCAATATCCCTTTAGTGGACAAAAAATGGGAAAAAATAGCGGTATGGGGCACCCCGCAGCCAGTGATGCGGGTAACGTGTTCTCCGCACAAACCCAATATCCAATCGAGTGGTCAAAAAGGGCGTTGATTATTGGCATCGCCTTGGCTGTTTTAGAATGTTTGATCGCGCCCTACAATGATTATGTCATTCGTAACACCTTTCTGGCGGGTGGTCATTTTCCGCTTGCCCCATTTTTTGTCCTGAGCGTCTTGGCTTTGGTTGTTAATTCCGTCCTAAGGTTCCTGCATCCCAAACTTGCGCTCTCCTCCCAAGAACTCATCGTTATCTGGTGCATCATGATTGCCGTCGCCGGTATCCCCTCATCGGGAATGATGCGAGACGCATTGTCCGCTTTCGCGGCTTACAACTATTTTGCCACACCCGAGAACGAGTGGAGATCGCTTTTCTTTCAATATATCCCCGAATGGCGTGTCGTGCGAGATGAGGGCGCGATCGTCTCTTTCTATGAAGGCTTATCCGTTGGCGAGAAGATCCCTTGGGGCGCATGGCTGAAACCGCTCTCTGTGTGGGCGTTGTATGTTTTAACTGCCTATTTCGTTATGATTTGCCTCGCTGTGGTCCTACGAAAACAGTGGGTCGAATATGAGAAATGTACGTTTCCACTCGTTCAACTGCCTGTGGAGATCTCCGTTCATCAATCAGGCATTGTCAATTCATTCTTCAAAAGCAGAAAGATGTGGGTCGGCTTCGCTATACCGGCATTTATCCACACCCTGAACGGGCTTCACGCGTATTTCCCCACCCTGCCACAGATCCCCATCCGATTTTGGCTCGACCCATTTCTCGTCGGTAGACCGCTCAACGCCTTGAGACCTTTTCAGATCGTCGTGTTGATGTCAATGGTCGGATTTAGCTACCTTCTCACACTTGAGGTCGCATTCAGCCTCTGGTTTTTCTTCCTGTTTTTCAAACTACAATGTCTCATTGGCAGTATGCTCGGTTTTCTAATAACGAAGGGTCCGGGTGTAAAATGGACGGCGTATTCGTTCAGTGCCGCGCAGGAAGCCGGTGCGTGTCTGACTCTTGCGGGCTTCGCACTCTTCAAAGCCAGAAGGCATATCAAGCAGCTGTTTTTAAGCGGCTTTGGACGCAGCTCTCCTCAATCTGATGCCCAGAACGAACCGATGCCCGCCCGGGCTGACAGTCTTTGGACTGATCGGGGGCTTATCCCTCTTGATATACCTGAGCCACCTGATGGGAATGTCTCTCGGATTTGCGGTGCTCTTTGTGCTTTTTTCAGTTGGCGTGTTTATCGCCTTGACATGGCAGATTATCAACGGAGGTATCCCTTTTATCAATCCCTCATTTTCACCGCAAAGTTTTTTCCTCACAACACTTGGATCGGCACACATGACACCCTCAACGACAACGTGGCTGTTCATGCAACCCACCGGCTTAACCTCGCACCTGAGAGAGTTTATGATGCCCAACGTGATGAACGGGCTGAAAGGCGGCGGATGCAGTCAGAGCCAACCGGCGCCGACTCCTCATAGCGATGGGAGTGGCAATGGTGCTCGGATTGCTTGTCTCATATTATTCCGTGCTGAAAGTTAGCTACCAACACGGGGCGTTATACGTGCATACGGGAGGTAGCGGCGGGGCGCGCTCGTTGAGTGCCATCCTCACCAGCCCTCCGAGGGGAACCGACTGGACGAATACCGGTTTTACACTTTTCGGTAGCGTGTTTACGATCGGATTGATGTGGATGAGAAAAGTTTTTGTGTGGTGGCCCATTCACCCGATCGGATACACGATGCTAAGCTCGTGGGCATCGTTTAAGTTATGGTTTTCCATCTTACTCGGCTATCTTCTGAAATATGGCATCGTGAAATATGGGGGACTCAGAGCGTATAGGGAGGCACGCCCCCTGTTCCTTGGATTGATCCTCGGTGAGATGACCTGCGCCGGACTCTGGTCGATCGTTGGGATGATAACCGGTGTCGAAACCGGCTATCGCATCTTGTTGGATTGAGGTAGGATGTGAAAAATTCGTAGATATATGGAAACTCACACAAAGGAAGGTGAGTCAAATGGGAGATGGACGCAACCAACCTCTGGTGAAATTGTGGTTACAAACACCACGCATAGGGACCGGGACCTGTATGGGAAACCATGTCGGCGATCTGCTGGCGCATCTGTGTGATGCGGTTCTGGTATTTAGGTATTGATGAATATTGTCTTTCTATTTTCAGATGAACACGCGGGGACAGTGATGGGGAATAGTGGGCATCCGGTTGTCCGAACCCCTCACCTTGACAGCCTTGCCGAACAGAGTTACACCTTTGACAACGCCTATTGCAACAACCCAATCTGTACCCCTTCGCGCTTGTCACTGCTCACGGGACGTTATCCACATCAGATTGAAGCGTGGGATTTGGGGGCGATTGCGGATCGGCGGTACCCAACGTGGGCGATTATCTGACGAAGGCGGGTTATGAAACCGTGTTGTGCGGACGGACGCATTTCAACGGAACTGACCGCTGCTCGGCTTTTCCCAGTCGTCTACTTGATGATCTACCTCGGTGGTGCAACGCAAGTGGCCGTCCACCACGACGCACGCCAGACGAGCGTCGAGGTTCCAATTCACATGTTGCCGAATGCGGACCGGGGAGACCACGAACACACGAGATATGACCGAAACGTCACAGACTTAGCAATTGATTTCCTGCGCGAAAAATCGGCTTCACCAGACGACAAACCGTTCCTGCTCTATTGCGGATTCATGCACCCACACTTTCCACTGATTGCACCGCCTGAGTTCTACTCACAGTACGACCCGGACACGCTTGAGCTACCTGCCACATGGAACGAACCGCTCGAATCCCAACACCCAATAATCCAACACCACCGTTGGGCGTGGCGGAACGATATTCCTCCACCTGAAGCCACTGTGCGTTGTGCGTTAGCCTCCTACTACGCGCTCGTCTCATCCTTGATGCTCAGATAGGACGGATACTTGAGGCAATTGATACGTCGCCTTACGCGAAAACACACTGGTCATCTACACGAGTGATCATGGCGAAATGGCTGGACACCACGGTATCTGGCAGAAGCAGTGCTTCTACGAACCGGCGAGTGAAAGTGCCGTTGATGCTACGACTGCCGTCGGGTGAGACCGCTCGCGTTGGGCAAAATGTCTCCTTGGTCGATGTTTTACCGACCTTACTGGAAATTGCTGATTTGGAAACGCCCTTTGATTTACCGGGGGAGAGTCTATTAGAGATAGCCCGACACCAAGCAGATGAAACAACGCGCACCGTCTTCTCAGAATACCACCACATGGGTATGCTCAACGCCGGTTTTATGCTTAAGCGTGGGGATTACAAATTGTGTCATTACGTCGGAAGCGAACCGCAGCTGTTCAATGTCACGACTGACCCGTTGGAGGACAACGATTTGGCATCAAAGCCTGAATACGCTGCTATACTTGGTGAAATAGAAGATGCCCTACGTGCGATTGTCAATCCAGAGTTGGCAGATGCGCGGGCAAAAGAGAACCAAAGAATGCGTAGGTTGAAAGGTAGAGATACTTAATCATTGGATCCGCCGAGGCACAGGGACCTCGGCGAACAGAGGAATTTCCCGCTTAAACCTCGCCGTCCCAATAGCTGAGGCTTGGGTCTTTACGGTAAATCTTCCCGACGACATAAGGCAACACCTTATTGGAATCAGGATATTCGCTGACATCATGCGGCGTGGTAGTCCCCAGAATCAAGAATACAACGGGAGCATCTGTGTTGTTCACGAACTTATGCGCACCGACTGTGCCGGGTGGAAATGCGATGAAATCCCCTTCCGTTACTTCCACATCGCCGCGTGGGGTTTTAAGCGTGCAGGCACCTTCCATCACGTAGCACATCTCTTCACCGAAATTGTGAAAATGCATTGGAAAACTCATCTTACCGGGTTGGAGACGGATAACGCGGTATCCCAAATTTTTGCCGCCGATGAGGGGATCAATGTCTTTGTCCTCAAAATCATAAGGATGCGGTGCGTTTTTATAGTGCCACTCTATCTCATCAATATGAATACGGTTGATATAGATATCGCGCCGCGCCTGCAGACAATCAATGAGATGTTGACGGGCATCTTTAAAGATGGAGTGCCCATCACCGACAAGAATTGTGTTGAATCGGAGTGCCAAGATTTTGCGCAGTTCAAGTGCTGCTTTAGGCGGGTCACTCAGCTTGCCATCGGCGAGTAAAGTCAACGCACCCAGCGGTTCGCCTACTACGAGATCCCCGAACAGGACGGTCTGTTTCTCTGGAAAGTAGAGTGCGATTTCACCCGGGCTTTTCCCATAATTGAGATGGATAGCATGTAATCCCGGCACAATCGCCTCCCGGTCTTTAATCGTTCTCGCCGGTGTGATGCTCAGCGCGTCAGCATCGGCTTCATGCACAATTATGTCGGCACCTGTCCATTCTTGAAAGATAGCGGCTTCGCGTTCATGATCCGCATTCGTCAGGACAATAGACTTCGCGCCGCCGAGTGCTGTCAGGTGTTCCCGGTCAGCATCGGACATCACAACCGGGTCTATGAGGATATTTCCGTCAGGGCGCACCCACAAATGTCCGTTAAAATCAATCTGCCGTTCCGGACTAAAGACACCCCAACTGTACATATCTTCAAAAATTAAGCGTTTCACTATTGTTGCCCCTTATGCTAATCGCTATGGGGACTCCTCCTTTGATACAAATCCGTAGACCTCAATTTCGTGAGCGAACGGTCTACCTAACTTTATTTGCGGTAACGATTTCACCACGTCTCGGATCATACTGATTGGCTTTCTTTTCATCATCAGCGGTACCGCTGATGTAGATACGAATTGCATCCGTTACAACACCACTGACGCGCCTGTCAATGACCGGACTCTCGTTGTACGCAATCTGTTGAATTGCCTGCCAACGTCCTTCGCCTTCTAATTTCTTATATATCAAAGCCCTTGTGATATTAGTCCCGCGGATGGTGATCCGGTGAATGGCTTTTCGAGTCGGAAGATTTAGATGAATCCAGCGTCCGTCAGCGTATCCTCTCGTCTTCACGTCGCCATCTATCATCTCCGGTGACGTACAGGTGACCCCTTCTGTGACAGCATAGTTGTAATATTCCTGTGGCTCAATCAACATCTGCAGCACCTTGGATTGGCATCCAAAAAAGAGGGCAGCGGCGCAGAGTACCGGAAAAATCAGAATATAACGTCGCATCTTTTCCTCCGCAGTCTATTTCGCTTTTATCAAATATTATAGCACATTTCCGTTTTTCTATAAACCAGAATTTTGCGAAAAGCGTTGCTTTAAAACCACGACTGAGATATAATGCCGTGTGAAAATAAACCTTTAAGTTACGCCTATAATAGCGCGGTTCTCACCGCGTTTATTGAATCAGGTTTCACACAGGAGAAAGCTATGTACAAAAGTGCGATTTTGGGGTGTCGGGGACGTGCACGTGGGCACGCTCGCGCATATCAACACGTTAAAGGTGGTAAACTATCCGCTATCTGTGATATGCAGGAAGATCTGCTCAACAACTTCGGCGACGAATTCGGGATTGATGCCCGCTATACCGATCTCGATGAAATGCTCTCGAAAGAAAAACCGGATCTGCTACACATCGTTACCGCGCCGGTGCTACGCGGCAGCAACGAACGCATCCGCTACCCACTGATGAATCGAGCCTCTGAACACGGTGTGCCTGCGGCAATCGTTGAAAAACCGATTGCAGTCGAAAGCGAAGATTGGCGGCAAATCTCTGAACTCGCCGAACGCACCCAAACGAAGTTCGTCGTTAACACACAACTCAATTTTCACCCACAAAATCTCGCTCTTAAACAGGATGTCGCTGAAGGGAAAATCGGTGCAATCAAATTTATTGAGGCGAGCGCACGCAATCCACCCGTTGACCAGGCTCCACACGTCCTACAACTCGTGTCTTCTTATATTGATAATTCGCGTCCAGTGAAGGTGCAAGGACAAATATCCGGCGCGGGACAACTCGATTCAGCGCAACCTTCACCAGCGAACGCCACGGCACTCGTAACCTACGCAAACGGTGTACAAGTCTCGGTCGCATTCGGACCGGAGATGGCACCGACGTGTGCTACCCGATACTGGAAACAACCGACATAAACGCGTGTGCGTATTCGGTGAAACAGGGTTTGTCCACTGGCGGTTTGAAAGTTGGGAACGGAATCTACCCGGCAGCGGCTATGAAGGTGGCGACCTGAGCTATGGCGCACAGGATGTCATCGCCCAAGGTGGACTCACCGATGCAGTGTTCGAGTGGCTTGACGACGAGAGCAAAGTCCATCCGACACATCTCAAGCAATCCCTCGCTGAGTTTAACCTTTTGTTGGGCATTTACTATAGCGGTCTGACAAACACCGTCATCGAATTACCGTTCGACCCACCGGACGGTATGATTGACATGTTCCGCGAACGCCTTTAATTAAATCATTTTCCCCGCTGGCGAGGTTTATAACATCGCCTGTTTTCAGAGGACTCAATTTTACATTAGGAACACCCCTCGTGAATGACATCATTTACATGGACAACCATGCCACAACGCCAATCGCACCCGAGTGCTAACGGCGATGATGCCTTATCTCACTACGCATTTCGGCAACGCTTCCAGCACGCATCCGTTTGGCGTTACAAACGCGAAAGAATGCAGTGGATAAGGCACGTCATCAAGTCGCCGAATTGCTCGGTTGGTCAGCAGAAGAGATTATCTTCACCAGCGGCGCGACGGAATCGGACAATCTCGCTATCAGCGGAGTCGCCTATGCTTGCAGAGAGAAGGGCAACCACATCATCACAAGCACGGCAGAGCATCACGCAATCCTCGATACATGCCACGCCTTAGCAACAGAGGGGTTTGAAACTACATATCTCCCAGTAGACAAATACGGGATGGTGAGTCCTGATGACGTTGAAGCCCGCGATAACTCCAAAAACCGTCTTGATGAGTTTTATGTATGCGAATAACGAGTAGGCTCGATAAATCCGATCACCGCTATCGCTGCTATCGCTGCGAAACACGGCGTGCTTTTCCATTCCGACGCGGTGCAGGGGATCGGGCAACTGTCCTCAAATATGGAGATGCTCGGTGTGGACCTCGCCTCTCTGACTATGCACATAGATTTTACGGTCCGCGGGACGTGCACTTTACAAATCCGGCGAAACAGTCCACAACCCTATTCACTTTTTTTATGGTGGCGGTCAGGAGAGGGGTTTCGTCCGGTACCTATGAATATTGCGGGATTGTCGGCTTAGGCTCAGCGTGCGAACATTTCTAAAACTTACAGGACACGGCGGAAAAAATCACGTAGCAACTTACGCGATGGCACTCCATCAAATTACACCGCACACATTGGGGGATATGCCATCCAACGGCATCCTGCACATCGACTACCGGGCAAGTTGAATCTCTGTTTTTGCGGGTGTGGCAAAGTCACGCGCATTGTGGGCGGGCACTCAACTTGTCGCCGTGTCACCTGGGGTCCGCGTGTGACTCGGAATCGTGAAGCATCAACATTTTTAGTCGGATGGGAGTGTCGAATGAATTATCTTGTGAATGGGAGACTGCTAGCCGTTTTTCGGTTTGGGACTCTACAACACCGCTGAAATAGTCCCATATTGTCGCATATTAAGTCATCAAAGGCGGTTATCGGTTAAGGGCAAGGGGGGGTTTCAAACACCCGAATGGTAACGATGAGGGGGAACCTTTCGTCCGCTTGCGTATGATATATATTAGCAACTGGCGTGCGTTATCCATCAAGTTCACGCACAGCAGGCACCAATTCCTAGTGGGACCTTCGTACTCAAGCGGTGCTGGATTCATCTCAAATAAAAATGTCTGGTCGTCTGTCACTTCGGCTTTGGACGTCTTCGCGTTCCTGCAGCTGTTGGGTCGTAGTGTTGAGTGACGCCTCTGAGACGTTTGGTTCTCTTCATTCCAACCGGGCGGGAAAGTTCGTGGGAAAATCTGTTCACGATGGGTAGGTTCCGTTCAATCGGTCTACCTTTCGCTCTTACTGGGGGGTCTTCGGCGTTGCCGTTACATGGTTGCCTCGCCGGCCAATCATAAGCTGTAAGATTCCAAAGACACTATTCGGTTCTGGGTCCCCGAACATAGACCTTGCAAATACGACCCCAGGGGGGGACCGTACCCCGCCGTACCAACCGATATAGAAGGAAATAAAAAAAGGATTGTCTTCCTGACCAATGGGCATTTCGCGTTTTTTCGCCAATTCCCTGACCAGGGCCCACCAGATTTAATCTATCTTCTACCTCGTCTCGGTGACCGCCATGGGTTATAATATAGGTACAACAGGTTTCGGGTCTTGTCGTAAAGCGAAGATTCCTAATTGTTACCACAAACAACCATAACCATTCGGTTTATTTTATCAACAAAATTTAGCACCATCATTCTGTATTGGCAAAAAATATTACCATTACCGTCGTAGGAGTGCTCTCCTGTGGCACGACGATCCTGCTACTTTAACTTCCGCCTGGCGGAGGTTCCCTGGGTAATCCAACGGATCCGAAGAAACGCCAGTCCAACCCCTTGCGCGTTTTTCCTTTTCGTAGCACATGTGCAAATTTAAATTGGCGCATGTCCTTGACCGTAAAAGTGTGGTAGAGTGCTATCTGTTTTTCCTGTCAAATGTTAGCAACAAATCACAGAGACGCACATGTCATCTATGCAACCGCCCAAACCTATCTATCCCCCATTAAACATCGCTGGTCCGACCGAACGCGGGCCCTCACAAAGCGACATACCTAGCTGGACGTGAATAGTTGGGTTGCGATGTGGGGAGCAAGTAACCGCGCATATCTTATCACGGGATGACGTGGGGCACGGGACTTTACAATCCCAAGAGTTTGCATAACCGCTGGATGCATAAGTCTAACTCCAGCGATTGCCGGAAGTCCGAATGGGGGTGTGGCATGAGTCCTCATACTTCTACCAATTCTAAGCCCGATGTGGCTGTCGTTTGGTGACGAACCTACGTTTTGTGGATAACGGAACGACCCATTGACAACCCTCATCAACCCGATAGTTTACTGAAATTAGATGCTTTCTCCCTCGTCAACCGAAAGTCGTATGACAGAGGCGAGAAATCCGGAAAACAGATCGGCAACTCAAATTCGTTCGAATACATCCTTATTTCACAGACAAGGGGGTGCGGGGTCGAGAGGCCTATCTTCGCAGAGGTAAACAATAGGATACTCGCGAATTCACGCGCACTGTGAGAATGTGTTACCCCCTCGACTTCAAGGGATGTGAGGGAGTATTAACTCTCTTGAATCAGATCTTATAGGGATATTTGTTGGACCGTGGAAACCGATGACAACCCTCTCAAAGCCACCCGTGCATGGCTATTCATTTTTCTTCAATTTCTCATTGGATAGTTTAACTTCGAGTAAGGGTTTTGAAGCGATGAAATCGTATTGTTGTCAGAGATTTTTATTGTCGTATTTCCTGCGAAGCGTAAAACGGACTTGGCAGTGTTGCGTAATGCTGTTCTAAGGAGTAGGCGGAATGTACGTTGTCTTATAACTCACGGTTTCTCGCCCTGTTAAGCGTCCCGCCCCGATTAAACGGTGTCTCGGACCCAATGGACTTTGGTGTTTTCTATCGTCCAATGTTTCGCGTCGGAGTTTGAGCAGGCTTCTGCGGATGCGACTTCTGGAGGTGAGAGACTCCGTGATGCCATACTGCTTCTGTTGGGGAGATCTACGGCTGTTGTTTTTTGTGTTTGTTTTCTTCGCGCTGATATTGGTATTGATAAACCTGAGACGATCCTGGCCATTTGATGTAATCTGTGATCCAGGTTGTGCTGCGGTATGGGGTTGCTGTGTGGTGGTCAACCCGATGTGAGTTGCCACATGGTTTTAGTAGAAAAGAAGGTGTGCGCCTTCTGGGTGTGAAGGTTTTCAAAGCAGTCTGGTCTCAACCTCTGTGGCATCTGTCCTCCAGAAGGGTTCAAACGTTGCTTGACGTTTCTTCATACAGCAGTGGTTTGGGAATTTTGCGTTTTTCTTTGCAGCAGCGCATAGTTCCATGCCTGATGTTCGGACTTCTTTACAAAAGGTCTCGTCTGGCGTCCAAAAGGGCATCTGGTCGGTCACGAATTTCTCTTCTCCGAAGATCCAACGCTTTGAGGATTTGTGTTGGATCGGAATCGTCGTTGGTTTCCACTGACAGGCCGGTTGGGCGAGGGTAATCCTAACTCAGTACAGACTGCGGACGTACTGTGTCCGTGGT